TAACGTATAGACGTTTAACCATATTAACGTATAGACGTTTAACCATATTAACGTATAGACGTTTAACCATGTGGACTATAGATGTTTAGCCATATTAACGTATAGACGTTTAACCATGTGGACTATAGACGTTTAACCATATTAACGTATAGACGTTTAACCATGTGGACTATAGACGTTTAACCATATTAACGTATAGACGTTTAACCATGTGGACTATAGATGTTTAACCATATTAACGTATAGACGTTTAACCATATGTGGACTATAGATGTTTAACCATATTAACGTATAGACGTTTAACCATGTGGACTATAGATGTTTAGCCATATCGACGTATAGACGTTTAGGCATGTGAGCGTATAGATGTTTTCCTTCACAGGTCCGTCGACATACTTCCTACCCCAACGACCCATAATCCAGCAACGCAACATCTGTAAAATAATTCAAACAACAACCGATAACACAGGGAAAACACAAACAAATCAAATATACATGATTGGTTTAATAGATGAAACATATGCCAATGAGAAACAGTGCGGCTATCGCATGCACCTTCGATATTCTTTCAATACAACTAGGCAGAGGGTGTGATTAAAACAAAGCATCAGAAAGTGTATGACCAGACATTTGGAGATCTCGTTATCAAGCATAGTATCGGTAAACTGTCTGCAATCACCGTGAGAGGCAGTGTGATGGCATAATAATGACGGCTTCATTACAAGGATTGGTGGGATATTAATCACTAAACCATTAATGCTTAATTTAGTGTCCTGCTGAATGTTTGTTTAGCATGATGTTGAAATTGCGCCATTAAATTGTAGATTTTTAAATTAAATATTATTTCTCTTCTCTTCTATTCTATTCAATTGTACTGAAATGTACTGTACTGTCCTGTGCTGTTCTGTACTGTGTTGTACTCTACTGTACTGTGCTGTGTTGTACTGTACTGTATTGTGCTGTGTTGTTTTGTAGTGTACTGTACTGTTCTCTATTGCACTGCAGGGGCGGATCCAGGGGGGGGG